GGCGGACCAATAAATGTACTAGTCACTCGGTGATGGAGCGTTCAGTCGGGCGGTCGGGGGGGACAGTAAATGCAACCTTCACTCTTGTGATGGGACACCCTTGGGTGAAAATATATCACAACCACCGAAGACGCCGGTCGGGCGGGCGGAACATTGAATGAAACCTTCACTCATCATCACCACCCCCACTATCATCACCATCTTCGTCGTCAGTATCATCGCTGTTATCAGCAACATCATACTCCTCGCCGGCAGCCCAGGAAGGCCTCAGAGGGTCACCGTAGGTGCCCCGGATGGGGGCGGCAGGCACCCTTGCGAAAAGGGCCACAACTCGAGATGCGCCCCACTTGCCTCACTTGCCACGCCCGCTCGCGCGGGCACGAGCTTTGTTTGAGCCTTGTTGGAGTTGTGCTGGAGCTTTGTTGGGGCTTTGTTTCAGCTTTGTTTGAGCCTAGTTGGGAAGTTGTTAGAACTTTGTTTGAACTTTGTTTGCGCTGTGTTGGAGCTTTGCTGGAGCTTTGTTTGAGATCTGCTTGGGCGCTGTTTCAGCTATATTTGAGCTTTGTTCGTGCTGTGTGTGAGCCTTGTTTCAGTTAAGGTTGGAGTTTGCTTGAATTTTGTTGGAGCTTTGTGTGAGCTTTGTTTGAGCGTTGCTTGAGCTCTGTGCGAGCTTACGACGGCGACGACGACGACGACGATCGAAACGGCGACGGCGACGGCGATGGCGACGGGTGGAACGTTAAATGCAACCTTTACTCGGTGATGGGACAAGATTCGGGGAAAATATTTCACAACCACCGGTGACGCCGTTCGCGAGGGGGGGAATTCGATGCATCATTCACTCAAAGATGGGGCGTTTAGTCGGGCTGGCGGCCGGGACAATAAATGCAACCTTCATTCTGTAAAGGGACAACCTTGGGGGAAAACGCATCACATTCAACGAAGACGCCGGTCGGGCGGGCGGGACATTGAATAAAACCGTCACTCAGTGATGAGGCGTCATCATCATCAGCATCATCATCATGATTATCATTATCATTATCGTCATCGTCATGGTCATCATAATCATCATCATCATCATCATCATCATCATCATCATCATCATCATCATCATCATCATCATCATCATCATCATCATCATCATTATCATATTCATCATAATCATCACCAGAATCATTATCATAAACATCAGCGTCACCATCACCATTACCATCACCATCACCATCACCATCACCATCACAATCACCACCATCATCATGATCACCACCACCACCCATCATCAGTAGCAGCAGCATCAGCATCACATTCATCATCATCATCATCAGCATCATCAGCAGCATCATCAGCAGCATCATCAGCATAATCATCGTCATCATCGTCATCATCATCATCATCATCATCATCATCATCATCATCATCATCATCATCATCATCATCATCATCATCTTCATCTTCATCTTCATCGTCATCTTCATCTTCATCTTCATCTTCATCGTCATCATCATCGCCACCCTCCGTATGTGCCCAGGGTGGGAAGGGGGCCAGGCACCTGTGCACGGATGGCGACGTCATGCGCCACCATTCGAAATGCGCCCCATTTGCCTCACTTGCCCCACGTGCAGCGCCCGCCCGCGCGGGCACGAACTTTGTTTGACCTGTGTTGGAGCTTTGTTGTAGTTTTGTTTGAGCTTTGTTTGCCATTTGTTTGAGCTTTGTTTGGGCTTTGCTGGAGGGCATTGTTTGAACTTTGCTTGAGCATAGTCTGTGCCTTGTTTAAGCTTGTTTGGAACATTGTTGGAGCTTTGCTAAACTTTGGCTGAGATTTGTTCGCGCTTTGTGTGAGCTTTGTTTGAGCATGTTTGAGCGTTGTTTGACCATTGTTGGAGCTTTGTATGGGCTTCGTTTGAGCTTTGCTTGAGCTTTGAGCGAGCTTACAACGGCGACGCCGACGCCGACGCCGACGCCGACGCCGACACAGACGTCGACGACGACGTCGACGCCGACGACGACGACGACGTCGACGTCGACGCCGACGACGACGACGGCGACGACGGCGACGACGACGAGGACGACGACGATGGGAAGAGAAGGTGGGGGAGGGGAAACGATTGCCCCCCCCTGAGTCGAACCAGGGGGGGGGGTCGGGACGCAGCCCGGGCCGGGGCTGGCCAGCGCCTGGGCCGGCCCGCCCCCCCCCCCCATGCACCCGGGTCGAAGCTCCCTCCCCACCCCCTTGTGGTTCGAACAGGGGGGGGAGGAGCTGCCCCCCCCATCCCCGGGAGGGAATTGTGTGGGACGCACAGAGGCGTACTAATACTAGATGTCCTCCTTGGAGGCGCGCGTCCGACCCGAACATGTAGTATACCCATCTTGTAGTATATCGTTTCCCGAGCGGTGTGGCCAGAAAGCGCACGCCGCGACGCATATACTATAAGATTCCTCGGTGCGCGCATCGCCCCCGGGGGGGCGACGCACATATAGTATAAGTATGTTGGGGTGACGCCGATTGTACCCTCTCCTCCCCCGGTTCGAACCAGGGGAGGCTTGCCAGTGACGGTAGGAAGCACTCTGCCCTATCTTGAGTAAAGAACGGAGCCCCTCGTTGGCACCAATTGAGCGCCTGGGTACACGAGCAGCGCCAGAGGAGCAACCATGGAAGGACCTGAGGGGCAGCGAGCCCCCCATCCTTGGAGGCGGCCGGGCGGTCTGACCTGGTTGGGGCCCCAGAAAATCGGTCGGGAGGGGGGATGGCGCCAAATCCGCTCAAAATCGGACCCAGGACCTTTCCCGGGGTCACCCCGGATCCGCACGGCCCCAACACCCTTCGGATCCGAACTGCTTCTCATTTCGGCGTCTTGGCTGCGCCCACTGGCACCGACACGGGCCCACCCTGCGCGCCGGATCGGTGCGCCTGCCCCCTGGATCGGCTGCAAGCGGGGCCCTCCTGGGCCCCCAGAGGCGGCCCAGGTCGGCGTGGCCACGAGGGCGCGTGCACAGATCTCGACCCATCATCCCCTGAGATCCGACAGCCCCCAGAGGCGGCCCAGGTCGGCTTGGCCATGAGGGCGCGTGCACAGATCTCGACCCATCATCCCCTGAGATCCGACGGCGCGAAATGGTCGAGACATCGTGCGAAGTCACGGCCGGAGCCCCAGGCCCCATCTCTCTGCGCCGTGCTTCGGGCCGCAGCGACCAGGGGAGGGTCCCGGGGCCCGAGGCTGGGCGGAGGCGCCCGGCTCGAACAAAATTGAGACGCCAGGATCTCAGGGTCAAATTTTGTAAAAAAACAAAAAAAAAACTGTGCTCAATTAGTATGATCACGACGTTTTTCTGGAGTGCCTCTAATGAATAACATGAAGCAACGAAGTACGGCCTGGTAGATCAGTGTAGGCATTCCGAAGGAGGAAATGTTGTTGCACCTTCGGGCGGCCTTGTCGTGTCGCTGTTCGCGTCAAATCCGCGTCGAACCCGTGGCGGATTAGCGACGAATCTGCGTCGACGATACGTCGGACACCAGAAAAGGAGTGCCATTCT